GCGCGGGGCCGGCGGCCGGGCGCGAAGCTCGGGCTTAGGGCGCGGGTCGCTCGTGTGCGGGGGCGGCGGCGGCCCCGGGCTTTCCGCGCGGCGGGGCCGCCCTTCTGGGGAACCGCGTCCGCGTGGGGAGCAGCGTGAGGGGCGCGGGTGAAGCGCCGCTGACGCCACGGTGCCCCGGGCCGTCCCCCCGGGCCCGTCCCCCCGGGTCGGTCCCCGCGGACGTGCTGCGGCGCCTCGTTCCGCTGCCTCCCCGGGGCCTCTCCCTGTCAAGGGGAATGTCAGGGCCGAGGATGGGAGCCAGAGCTCTAGTGAACAGAGACCCTTTGTGCTGCTCGGCTCCGCGCTGTCGTGCGAATCCCGTAGCGACCGTGGCTGAGCTCCCGGAAGGTGCTCGGGTGTCCCGATCCTGCTCGGAGCAGCAGGTTGTTGATATCCTGCGACCTCTTTGTGCATTGGTCAGACTCTAGTTTTCAGAAGGGAGGGATGATGCCTGCCTGCAGCTACAGAGCTGGAAATCAGTAGCTGAGCGGAGTGTCCRTGTCTTGTCAGAGGCCTCTGCAGGACAGCTGAGTTCTTGAAGGGACGTTTACGGGTAGATGCGRTGTGTGAACAGCCATGTCACTGGTAGTTGGTGTTTGGATGCGTGTAAAGAGTGTGGATAAAGAAACAGGTTAGGAGTATGATAGGAAATGGTGCTTAAAACAAGGTATGCACAAGGTAGTGCCTCACATGTATGAGGAAAGTCGATCCCCACTGTCTGTTGTTTGATGGTCGGTGCATGACTGTCAGTGYTGCCATGTACTGCTGTGTTGCCCTGAGTAACTGTCACGTATTTATGTGACAGATTTCATGTTAAATTCGTTACGTGGCCCTGCAGGGTTTGGCTGTGTTGTGTAGTGCCAGTGGAAGRCGCAGGTCCTGGCATGAAACAAACCACGTTTGGTGGTTTGTGGTGCTGGTGTTGTGAGATTAAACCCATCAGATTGAGAAGTTCCTGTGTTAGAATAGGGCTTATAGGTTAGAAAAGACTGTGGGGCGTGTAAAACTATCAGACCGTTCCTGTGGCTTTTTAAAAGCAAATACTCTGTTTCTTGTGCTGTGCCAAACGCAGCAAAGATGCTGTTTTCGTGAACTAGTAGTGATTTCCAAGCCCATGTTGTTAGGCTGAGGGGCGCTTAACTCCTGATGGGCCTTTGTCTTTGTCGCGGCAGCGTTTTGTGCTTGTCGCCAGGTTCGAGGGCAGTGCGTTGGCTGCGTGGCGCGAGGGCGGTGGGGTGGCACCGTGAGCTGGCTTGTTACGAGCACGAGAGCTCAGGGATGAACACAGTGGTGGTGCAATTCCCCCCAGGTCCCCGGGACGATGACCACGCTCACGCGGCAGGACCTTAACTTTGGACAAGGTAACGCTGCGCACGGCTGCGCACCTGAGTGCATCTGCTGTCACTTGCTGTGGAGACAAAACCAGCCTTATTTTGAAGGGCGACTCWATCTTTAGACTCTATCTAACTTTCAGGCGCTAAGGGAAAGTGGAACTTACGCACTAGTATGAGTAATGCTCTAAATGGTCCTCCCCCCCCAGCCCTCTTCATCGCTTCATTTTGCTTTTCAGTTGTTGCAGATGTTCTTTCGGAGTTCCTGGAAGTGGCTGTTCACCTCATCCTGTACGTCAGGGAGGTTTATCCTATCGGGATCTTTCAGAAGAGGAAAAAGTACAATGTACCTGTGCAGGTAGGGAAGTGGGAAGCTGTATGGATAAGCACATAGCAGGTGTTGGCACGCACACCAAAACAAGCTATGCCACTGCCAACAGTTCTTGCAGTGCACAAAGTCATGTTCAAACAATTTAGTCCCTTGTAGAGGGGAAAACACTTCAGCTGGAGCTGAAGACACAGAGCTCTGCTCCCAGGACAAGCATGTCACAGGGAGGAGCTGAAGCCTCTAGCCATGCACGGAGGTGCAACGTGAAAGCTGCTGCCAAGGAAGGTGGTTCAGACGGTGAATGCTAGGGAGGAGCTTCCGAGCTCACAGGGGCATGGGGAATAATATAACTTTTAATAAATAATAACTAATATATTTGTCCAAGTGTAGTGATCTGTGTCGGCTAACGAACCCTTCCATGCAAGATTGACTGGTTTGAATTGSCAAGTTAGTTGTGAAAAATTCCCTCTGAAGCACAAAACCAGTGCCCTGCARCACGCTAGCAGCGCTGTGTACAACTTCCTATTCAGTATTGGCCTGACTCRCCTCAGGACACAGCACCAACTGTTGCCTGTATTTGCTGCAGATGTCCTGTCACCCCGAGCTGAATCAGTACATCCAGGACACTCTGCACTGCGTGAAGCCCTTGCTTGAGAAGGTAAGATCATATAAAGGACCTAAGCCATGCAAGTTGACAGAGAGTTAAAAAATCTGTATGTACTTCTAAAGTTTTATTTACAGGTTTACCATATGCAAAACTAGCTTATACAAAAACTAGCTGGTAAAGTTAGTGACAAAAACAAAACATTCATAACATTTCCGTGCAGTTAAGGCACTACCTTGCTGCTGAATACTGCATTTAGATGCATCTAGTACATACACTTGAGGCTACACACCTATATATTTTCAATTTTATTTTCCTCGAAATTAACTTAAATGCATTCAGRAAGAGAATGTTCTGGTTAAGCACCCACTCAGTGGAGTAGTTTGTTGTAAGTCAGTGGGGTCAAGCAGGTTGGGARTCTGTTTGGGAATCTATTTGAAAAAAATCTGTTTGAAATCTGTTGAGGGAATGGCACGACCATATGGAACTTGACATAATGCAGGATGCAAGCAGGGCTGGCACCCTGTCTTACAGACCATATAATAGATATTTAAATGAAAACAGGAAGTTTTATATTGCCGTAGTACGAAGTTGATCTTTTGACCAGTGATTTCAACCTACATGAATTTAGCTCTCACGATCCATTCCCAAGTGATGCAGTAAGATGCCTGCACACTTCCTCCTTTCTTCCAAAAGGTTATCTAGAGAAGTGTCCCATTTACTGCAATTTCTAGTCTTGGACTTTGAGAGTTAGAGTTGCCTTGCTTTTTTTATCTTTCTAATCAGTCAGAATAATCTCACAGTGCTAAAGCTGTAGATAATGGCTAGTGCTGTGTGATKGGGTTGCAGAAAGTACCTGAAGCACAGCATGGGTGAAAGATTAGAGTTGCTTTAAGGAAGGGCTTTTCCTAATTCTGTTTGTTTTTGCAGAATGATGTGGAAAAAGTTGTAGTGGTAATCCTGGATAAAGAGCACCACCCCGTGGAGAGATTTGTCTTTGAGATCACTCAGCCACCTCTTCTTTCCATCAGGTAAAGCGTCCTGGTTTGCCTGCGCGGGGCACGCACGGCTTGCRGCTGTAGCTAGGTTCTGGAAGCAGCTCTGCTGCATGTGCATAACTGTCTCCTCACCAGCTCCGAGTCCCTGCTGCCTCACGTGGAACAGTTGCTCCGTGCCTTCATCCTGAAGATCAGCGTGTGCGATGCTGTGCTGGACAACAACCCCCCTGGTAAGCGCCTCTGTGGGGCCGGCGTGTGGCTGCACTCAGGGCGACACCGTCAGYGTCCAAATCCTCTCTCGTGGTTGTGCCCTGAGCTGCAGCCCTTTCTCTTCCAGGCTGCACCTTCACGGTTCTGGTTCACACGCGGGAGGCAGCCACACGGAACATGGAAAAGATCCAGGTGATAAAGGTGAGAGATGCTTCTGGCTACCTAGCTGTATGTGAGAGCTGCAGCACAAAGAATGGAAATTAAGAAATCTGGGCGTTTTCGAGTTACAGTACTAGAGCATCTTGAATATTAAGTTCATATGATGCATTTTGCAACTTTAAGTATATTAAAAATGTTTATGCCAACAAGGTAATGGAGAACTAACAGACACCAGCTGCACATCACAGACAATAGCTGCTTTGATGCCTGAGTGTAATGACACTTAATGCATGATGCCACCTGTCACTTCCAGTGCTCTGAAATACTGATACTGCAAACAGATAGTACMTACTCTGTATCTACTAGCAGGCAGTAGATACATAACTTCAAAGCTCAGAAAAGCAGTCCTGATCCCAGTTAGGATCTATGTGGATGGATGATTCTTTTATATAAGATATCAAGGGAAAACTGAGATTTAAATAAGGAGTGGGTTTTGATGGTACAAAACATTTATCTTTGAGGAAACCATGAACAGCAAGTTCACAAACAAAGACTTCACATAAGGGTCCTTACCTAGAGACCAGGAAGCAGCCCCCAGCCTTCCCAGTGAAAGTTATTTGGAGTACCTTAAGCCATGGGCAATAAAACTGGGGAATCATGCAATTATTTGAAAGGGAGGTCTGCTTTCTATTGCTAAGTAACAAAACTGATACCATACAAAAAAAAAAACCTTAAATTTGCAAGCTGTGACAGCTTTTGTTAAACAGGTAAATCCGTAGAATGAATATCTTGCAGTTGCAATTAAATGCTGGTGTCAAAAGCACAGCATGCTGGCTCATCACAGATAAGCCTTTCAAAGGAGTGAAGTRTTATCTTTGGGATAAATAAAACAGGTTAAAATATTAACTTTGCTGTAATTATGGTGCAGAAAGCAATGCTGAGAATTGGACTGTGCATGAAAACTGCAGCAGGAGTCTCAGGGCCAAGAACTGTACAAGTGTTGCTGTTGGGGAAGCTCTTGGGTTACTTTCAACAGTTGCGTGTTTTAATCCCTCATTGGCTGTCGCTTATTGAATACTGACCTAGTGCTGGGGAAGATCCCCTTGCAGCGTCAGCCAGCAGCAGTGGTGATAAAGCACCTTGTGTTCCTGCCCCTAGGATTTCCCGTGGATCCTTGCTGATGAGCAGGACGTGCATATGCATGACCCACGGCTTATTCCACTGAAGACTATGACATCTGATATCTTAAAGGTAAGCAAAGCACTAGCTTTAGGCAGCCAAAACCACCTGTAGGTTTATTTTTTTCTGTTTGACGCCCGCTGTGCAGTTAGCACTAGCTTAGTAATGCTGAGCAGGAGCTTAGGCCTGGTACATGCTCTGTGTCAGTAAAAAAAAAAAAAAGCAAGATTTTTCTTTATGAAACAGGCAGCCTGGCTCTTTATGTTGGAAGACAGGCATTCCCGTTTAAGATTTCCTAAGTGTTGCAAACCTTTCTCCATTCACCTGACGCAAAGTATAAATTTGATACTTACTTCTCTCCTGCAGATGCAGCTCTATGTTGAAGAGCGAGCCCACAAAGGCACCTGACTCCAGCTCTTCATCACCTTCAAGCCTCATCAGATCTTCCAGTGGAATGAGATCCCTTACAATCTATACCTTGATAAGAAGCCTCAGCAGCTGGCCTTCCAGGTGAATGTAGAGCAGCTGCTGCGTCTTGATTTCAAGTGCGCTTACCCTGTATATAGAACTGACTTGGAATGTGGAGCCAGAGCCTGTTCCCACATACACTTGGCTAAGAGTGAGGAGAGGTTTTGTTGCAGGGAGGCCCTGGACAGAGGGGGAGGATAAAGCTGATTGCAGGGTGCAGTCAGAACTTCGTACAAATCCACTTCTAGCCTTAATTAGGCATCTCCATTGCACACTGGTAATGATTYACCAGGACCTGCTGTGTGTTCCACAGAGCAATGGTCTCACACCACGCGTGGGTGAGGCCTTATGCAGTGTCCACAGTGGCTGTCATAAGYAGTTTTCAATAAATGCTAAGTTTTATGCCAGTGGAACTAGGTTGCATTTTATCTAAGCCAGCYGTCCTCTAGTGAAAAAGTAACTGCTTTTTTTAACTTGGATGGATCTTTTGCCCATTTTCCATGCCTTTTGTGGAATATGGCTGGTATGTCAGTTCTGTGAGAGGCTGTACAACTCCAATTTCCCCCCTTTCCTCAGGGAAACGTCCACCCAAGAGTGGAGATAGCAAGGAGGTTGCGTGCCAGCCCAGCAAGGACACATGTGGAACATCCCAGCCTTAACAGATCAGACAAGGAAAAAAACCTGTATCCTGCACCTTTCACAGGAGATGGAGGAGGGCCTTAGCACCAGTTCTGTGTGTACAGGAGGGGAAGAGAGAGACCCTAGGTTTGAGCTGAGCTTATTGGAAAGACACTTTTATAAGGTGGCCAGGACCCTCCCTGCTTCCTCCAAGAAAGGAGCGGAAGAACAAGACACCTAAGTCGTTTGCCRCTTTAACATTTTATATAGTGTTAGACTGTTTAGTACAAGCCAAGTGCTTTGGTAGTATGAAGATAATAAGGAAAAAGCCAAGCTCTAGCTTGTAAAAGGCACTTATGTTGTAAGGGATTCCTTACCTCCTCTTTCCCTRTTTTTTTCAAATAAAGGTGGGCAGGATGTGGACAGGTAAGACCCGTATCGTTGTGCTCAAATATACTTGTTACAAATGTAGCACCAGCAAGACAGCACGTTAAAAAGCTTTAGAGTTTCCTTGTACTATCAACAAGGTCTGATGTGAAAGACATGTTTATATGTGCAAACAGAAACAGGAAAATACCGTACAAAACAAGCATCTCCATAGCAGAGCCCTTAAAAACAGGGTCATAAACTGAACTGAAATAAAATTTTAGTTCTAGCTTTTAGAAATTCTATAGACAAACCAGAAAGTTTCCATTTCTTAAGACTTACATCTTTGTACTACAGCACAACATTATCACGACAAAAGATAGATGTCATCTTTATTGTCCTGTGGGAGGACATTAGTAATTGCACTAATCCATGGGGCAGGAGGAGGAAAGATGAAGACAGAAGTCCTTCCAAAGGGCTGGGCCTGCAGATGTTCTGCTCTGAACAAGGAAAAATAGCTGCTTATATTCCAGCTCARCTGTGCAAGACAGAGCCAGGACACTCACCCAAAGAGTACAAATGTAAGTGCACCTGTGACCACCTGGTTACAGTCCTGAGGTAAAAGAGAACACTTATATTGCTTCTTCATAATAACGTCCAGGGCCCAATGGTGATGCTGCTGTTTGTCACTCGGATCCCATACCATCCTGCCCAGAACTGGGTGTCTTGGCCTCCATGTTGAAACCAGATATAACGAACTCCAGCTGGGTAATTGTGGAAGGTGTGAGAGACCTGAAAGGAAAAAGAAAAAAATCCTTTATCAAATCACTGCCAAGCCAAACTTAAGAATCAAGTTTAGTGTTACATATTTCTCATAAACAATATAATAGGGAATATACAGCCCTTTAAATTAGTGTAAGGTTTAGCAGTCTAGGAAATGGGTCTGTAACACTTTCTGAAGCAAAACCCACACAATACTACTTGGGCCAGTTAAAGGAACACAAGCACAAGAATTACTCTGCTATAACTTATTTAGACAAAGCCTAAGTAAAGATAGGAGCATCTAAAAGGATTAAGTGCCAGAATACTGATGTAAAGCTGCTCACCTCTCTCCACATTGCATCGCTCCACTGCTCTATAACCACAGGCTCGGGGTGGAACTCCTCAAGGACAATATAATCTTCAGAGAGCAGCCTTACAGTAATTTCATAGCGGCATCCACAGTCAAATCTGGCAGCGTACCTGGAGAGGCAAAAAGGAATCAAGCAGGGGGGTTGCATGCAGCCAGTTTCCACAGGCATCATGTGCAGAAGTAAAGAAATATCATCCCATAGCTATGGAGAAACTCCAGAAACTTCCAACTATCCTGTCCGTCCCAGAATTATCACCTCCTTCCTGCCACTGAATAAACCTTGCTCAAAAGCTACAGTCAGAAATGATAAAGAACTACTTCTTAAAGCTTCAAAATTCACAACTTCTGTTTAGGTTATAATGCCAGAATTTCCAGTTTTCAATGCATATGCTTACCAGTCCTTGATTACAATTTCAGGCCGTTTCTCATCCATCAGCTCATTCCAGTATCCTTCATTCTTCAGGGTAATGAGTTGAGACTTGAGGCATAGCCTGCAACACAAACACAAGTCTGTAGCTTCACAAAGCACTTTGTCCTTCCATGCTTTCCCCTCCAACAGTTTTCATCTTATAAAAAGCCCATCCAAACCTTAATGGCCCACACTGCTGACATGGGCAAGGTATCCCTGTTTCTGTAGCCAAAGTGCACAAGGAAGCAACCTGGTTAGCTTTACTCCCATGCAAAAGGAAGTGCATGGGATTAACAGGAAGCATGTATGTGTAAGGGATGTGGAAGTAGCTAGGGCACCCCTGCAGACTGCCTTTACTGCCAGCTGCTCACATGGCAAACACCGGGCACTCCTGCGCGTTACAGAGTTCTGTCCTAGTCAGAACAGTCTAATCAGTTGGCCACAYATTAACTTTCGCCCGTTACTTTTGCTACAAGATGCACAGGGATCCCAGACATATTCATTATCACCGCTACAAAACATACAGAATATTCTTGGTAGGGGCAGAGGGATTTTGCACTTGGTGCAATKAACTCCCTCAGCAGCTACCTGTCTACTAGAGTAACTAGTTTAAAAGGTTAAGCTTCTTCCTAAGGAGCTTAGCAGACAGAGGGGAGGAAGCAAGTCTCTTCCTTCAGTTCCTGAGCACATAAATGCTGTTCTTACCCAAACGAAGTGACAAAATACTTGTGTACTTTTGGATCTGGCATCTCTCTCCCAAGAGGTCCAGGCAGCTCTTCAATCCTCCATCTATCTCCCTCATTATTATCAAGTTTCCAGTGCCGAAAACTCTCTACAAAACATCAATACCACCAAAGACTGTTAGATCTCACTTCAGTTTTCCACAACATCTCTGCTTTCCTTAAAAAGTCAACAGGAAACTAAGAATCCACATGGAAGAAATTTCAGATAGGCATTTTTTCCCCATRTAGTTTAGACTTCTATCAGTACACTGCCATTACTTTTAACATGTCTGCCAGCAATTGGGCCAATCAGCAGCAGCTTTTTAACCACACTGAAACGAGCAAACAAAAMCCCTCAAAAGCAGTAATGGAGCAGAATTAATACAATGAGATGAGATTTGAGCTGGACAAAATAGCCTGTCTGCTCAAATACTTAGTTCCAATMGCTGATAGTTTTATTATGGCATCATTTCTATCTACAGTGCAAATTAATATCCATTATTCATAGTACTTCAGTGATTCCAAAGATGTTTCTGGATCTCAGCCACAGACACGTATTTACCAATACTTACTTTACCCAAAATGGCCCTATCTGCAGCTGTGTCCATGTGGATTCACCTCACTCCAGCTCCATCAGTGGCTGAACAGTCTCACAGCACGAGCAGTGCTTGAGGATTGAGTACAGTTCCTACAGGACAGCCTTTTTCTGCCTGCTAGGGAACTAGCCCTCTACTGTAATTGATAACAAAAACAAACCAACCTTCAGCACTGGGATTTTTTATCAAGTTTCTCTTCAAGCTGCAGAGCATATAGAAGATCTTCCAGTCAGATATGCTTCTGTCCAGACTCTGAGTGTGAAACCCCTCCCGCTGGCACTTGCGCTTCCACAGGGTGGTTAGATCCACCACGTACCGCCACTGGGTGCAGACCAGCCTGCAGGCGCAGATCAGATCGTGGGCCGGAAGCATGGACAGCAACTCCACCAGCACATCTTCTGGGAGGTCACAAATGCTCGTCATCACGGACCGGCAGCTTCAATGACCACAGCTGTCAATATACGGGGTGGAAAATCTCCAGGCACCTACAGTAACAGAGAGGTCAGAAAGAAGGGTAGATTTTACAAGCTGTCAACAGAAACAGTGGAGGGAAGGAGCAGCACARGCTGAAGGGCTGGACTCGGGGGCTGTGCAGCAGGCCGAGGCCCAGAGGAGCCTCGGGGCAGCCCCTGCTCCCCTGGCTCCCCCTCGCACCCCTGGCCCGGCCGGCCCCACCTGCACTGCGCCCGCCCGTGCTCCGTGCTCCGGACACGGATGTTGGATGTYGGGCTGCGCCGCCTTCCGCAGCGGGCGGAGCGCAGGGCGGGCGCTGGGATGGCCCAGCCACCGCCCYGCGCGCCGGCAGGACATCCAGGCCTGCCCAGGGCTCCAGCCAGGGGGGAATGCTGGGCTGGCCACGGGCAATGCTGGGCACTTCCCAGCGCGAGGAAGGGGAGCCCGGCTGCAGCAGCTCCAGCTGCACCCCAGTGCTCCTGCGTTCAGCCCTGCGAGGCAGCGGGGGCCCGGGAGGCCCCTTCCCGCGTTCACGTAGCGCTGGCAGCGCTTGGGCCGTGTCGGGGACGCRCCCGGAGCCAATGCGCACAGGCAGCGCGCGCAGGGGGTGGGACGCTGCCCTTTATGAGCGCAGCCCTCCCGGCCCGTGCTGGCCGCCGGCTCAGCACCCTGCCTGCCACGCACCTGCCCGCGGAGCAGCGCCCGAGGTAGGAGCTCTGGGTGCCACTGCTTGGCTGGGTGCTACTGCTTGGCTTCCTCCTCGCGGGCCGCGGTGCGGGCGGGGGGCTGCGCTACGGGAACGCTGCTGCGGCGCCCGCCCTGCGTTCGCTCAGCTTGGAAACCCAGCTCATGCCAGCCCTGCTGTGTGGCAATGGAGAGCAGCCACCCCGAGGGTCTGGGGAGATTCCACACTCATATACCTCATGAACCCTCCATGCACCTGACAGCTACCTTGGTGTCCCTGCTGGATCGGGGGGTTGGACTAGATGATCTCTAGAGCTCCTTTCCGACAACCATGCTGTGATTCTGTGATTCTGTGAAAGCAGCTCTCAGGGTGGGCAGAGCAACGTTAGGGTACCACAAACAGAAATGGGAAGCAGGCCGGGGGCCTCCCCACATAGGGAGTTTGTGAKAAAGTCTTGCAAAGGAAGGGGAGAGGGGAAGCTCTGTCACCAGGCAGGGCCTAGTGCGATTCCTGAGGGAAATGAAGTTAGCAGAGTGTTTCTGTAACACTCCTCTTTGGGATTGCAATAGGGGGTTGGGGGAGGGGGATCCTAGATGAGAAATCCCTAATAAAAAGCTGTAGTAAAGTTATCATAAAAGCTAGGGAATTTTAAATGACTGCAGTGCAGACAGAGGACATGACAGCTCCGCATCTGCAGTGTTTAGGATTTAAGATGCTCTTCTTTCAGTGACTCCCTATTTCTTTCCTCCCTTACTAGTGTTAGCATAGCAAAGCTTCTCCAAGTAGCAAATGCCAGGGATATTTCACCCGCTTTGCTCCTAGCTCTGTCCTGGGCTTATGATGATTCACTCCTGAGGAGTCCGGCTGTGCCTGGGCAACTCACTGCAGCCGGACTCAGCAGGGCTAGGGCAGCGTCACGCCGCACCCCGGAGCAGCCAGGACTCTGAATCCGCACACTCATCCCTGGCTCTTCCTGCAGCACCTGCTCCTGACCATGGGGGCAGCAGGAAGCCTGTRGGAGTCTGAGAGCAGAGGTAGCACACGAGATAAAGCAAGTCCTCCCAGCCTCACTGCTAGTGCTATCTGGCCTCCGGAAAGGAAAATTGGGGCATCTCAGCTCAGTTCTCTTCAGTTATAACCCATGCTCAGACCTATGGCTCATGACTAAGGAGATTAAGTGCCAGCCTCAGCAGCAAGAGCTGAGCCAAACTGCAAGCAGGACTGGCAGGACACCCGTCACAGGTATCTGGGTACCACTCTGCAGATTTCACAAAGGCAGAACAAGCACGCAGATGTCTGCAGCCCTCAATCTGCAAGTGAAGTCAGTACTGCAACAAGGAGCCTGATTTCTGCAGAAGTGGAATTCTAGATGGACCAATTCCAGGCCAGCTCTGAAGCTGCACAAAGTACTAGCACTCCTAAGGTTCATCCCAGCCTCTTAACATAAGACACTGCCAAACTGTCCACAGTTGCCTGTGTTTGTTAGTTACGTTTTGTGGGTGAATTTAACGAAGGTCTTCATTTATGTCATAAAATATTAATGATATAATCTCATGCTTCAGAGTGCTAAGCCAGTGAGGATCAGGAGTGCTCGAGGCTAGGAAGCAATGCATGTGCTCTGAAACCAGGCCAGAACGGCCTCGCAATGTCCATTGCCCTTTCTCTAGTCCAGTGTTTGACACAATTGAGGGTGGGAGACCCCAAATCTGATGGGCCACCAGTCTGTAACTATGTCACTAGTCCTTTCCCCACCTTCTCCTCAGGAAGCTCCACCCAGCGTGGCCCAAGGATGGAGTCCCTCCCTGAAGCAGTCCTGATCAGGATCCTGGCTTCCATACCTGCAGTGGACTTGGTGCTGGTGTGTCGCCTGGTCTGCTGCCAGTGGAAGAACCTGGTGGATGGAGCCTCTCTTTGGATYCTCAAGTGCCAGCAAGAAGGCCTCACGGGAGCAGAGTTAGAGGAGGATGCAGAGAATTGGCAAAACTTCTACTTTCTGAGTAAGAAAAAGAGGAATCTGATCAAGAACCCATGCGGTGAAGGTGAGAGACCTGCACAGTCAGCCCCAAGGCCACTCACTCACTGGGCTGGAAGGCATYCTGGCAAATCAGCCTGTGCTGCATTTCTGAGCTGGGCACACAAGCCTTTAGCCATTACTTTGATAATCCATTAACTTTGGTTAATCTAGAGGATGTTTAGCTACAAGTAGCAGTAACCAAGCCTCTTAGCCCAAGCAACAACACATAGGTTTCCATATTTCACACATCAGCAGGCAAACTAAGCACCAACATCGGCTTCCCCATTGCGCTTACAGGTGAGTTTTCTGCAAGCTTTTTCAACATACAGTTTCCTTCTGGCTAGGGCCAAAAAAGCCCAAATGTTTTGGGACACACTGCTTCTAGAAATATCACTTAGCAATTTAGGTATGCACTGCAAGCCTTCTTCAGACTTCTAAAACATCGCACAGAGGAACAGCAAACAAGGAATTTGAAACAAATCCCAATTACTTGCTTACAAAGTAAAAATTAAAGAAAAAA